TCCGAAAGGCAAGGGCGCCGAACGCTCGAGCGTCGCAGTCTGCCGCGATTGCGCCTAGGCGCCGACAATGAATTGATGGATTGGGTTGGGGGGGTTGGATTGGATGGGGCAACATGGATTGGACCAGATAAGATGGGTTGGATTTGAAGAGATGCATTGGAAAAGATAAAATGGATTGGGTTGGCCCGCCGCAGGCGCAGAAACAAATGAGTTGATCGATTGGGTTGGATGGGATTGGGTGGGATAAGATGAGATGAGGCAAGATGGTATGGATAAGATAAGATGGATTGGAACGGACAAGATAGACTGGGAAATATAAACTTGGTTGGAAAAGAAAGCCCGCCGCAGGTGCCGACAAAAATGGATTGATGGATTGGGTTGGGTGGAATGGATTGGATGGGATAAGATGGATTGTATAAGATAAAATGGCTTGGATTGGAAGAGATACATTGGATCAGATATGATCGATTGGATTTGCCCGCCGCAGGCGCAGAAACAAATGAATTGATGGATTGGCCTGGGTGGATTGGGATGGGTAGGATAAGATAAAATGGGGCAAGATGGGTTGGATAATATATAAAATATTGGAATGGACAAGATGGATATGATAAAATTTGTTGGGTTGGATAAGAAAGCCCGCCGCAGGCGCCGAAAAAAAATGAATTATGAAATTGGCGACATGCGTTAGCGCCGGGACACCCGGGACACCGCCCGGCCCAACTGGGACACCTCCTGGCCACAGGCGGAAAGGAAACGGATTTTCGCTCTTACTGACACCCAGGACACCCGAGACACCGCCCGGCCCAACTGGGACACATTCCAGCCACCGGCGGACGGGAACGGACTTTCGCTCCTACTTCGGCCTACCTACAAGAGGATCACGCGCAGCTTCGCTTCGCCCGCACGCACGACACGAACACGAAACCGAAACCGATTTCCCGGTGGGGGGTCTCACTTTCACTGCGATCTCACCCCCCAACCTCTGATACATATATATATATATATGTATAGACACTCTGGGTTATTCTTGTTTGCATGTGGCGCCAGAAGGCCAGGTGAGGCACAAAGCCATGAAGACCATGGCGGAGTCAGTGACCATTCCAGGCACACCGACCCCCTACCCGCGCATATTCGTGCCCACATCGCCCGAGCAGTACGTCCAGCCATTGCCGCGGGCCTTCTTGGATCCGACCCAGCTTTCTTGTCGCCAGTCAAGGAGAGGACTACAGCGGTAAATGATCCGACTCCTCGATCGCGGAGGTACGGGAGATCTGGAAGTTTTGGGGACCTTCGAAAACCTGCTGAATTCCAAGAAGTCCGAGCATATGTCCCCACTCCCTCTCCTAATCTGTCCTGTTCCCCCCCATCCCACCAGAAGGGGATTTGCGGGGGACAGGAGCGGCAGGCAGGAGCCAGACCACCAGAGCACCCCAAAGGCTTCCATAGCTCCCCCAAGACGCTCCTCCCAGAGCTCGAGCTAAACGGTGCCCTGGCGATGTCGCAGGCCGTTTTAGGTTTGAGTTCCTCTCGCAGCCAAGGCAGAACGAAGACAGAACGAAGGACAGCGAAGACAAAACGAGGACGGAAAACACGGCTTAGCTCGAGCCCTGCGTTCCCCCCTTCTCGATATCGGCGGACGGCGGCTGGAAGCTGGCCGAAGCAGCGCGGAGGCGGCCTTGCAAGGTGACCCCCTCGCCCCACGCAGCGCCCCACGCCTCGCGCCCTCCTCGGCGGCGCCCACGCACTCTCTCCCTCGTGCTCCTCCTGCCCCTTCCCTCGTAATCCTGCCCGCCATCGGAGCCCCCCCCCCTCCTCGTCACCATGCGTCTACAAGCACGAGGCGAGGCCAGGGGCCTCCGTAAAAAGGCCCCCTGGCCCCTCAGAAGCCCTCTCGCCCTCCAGGCTTCCCTTCTGGAAGCTTCTTCTTCTTCGCGCGGGACCGGCCCACTCTCAGAGGCCTCATTGCCTCCTTGGAGGGGCCGCCTCTCCTCGGCTCGCCCCCGGTCAGACTCCTCGCAGAAGCTCGCACGTGCGCTGGCCCCACGACCCGCACGGGGCAGTCTTCCGGGCCGCGCCCAACCGCGGCCGCGAGGGGCGCCCGAGAGGCCAAGCTGAAGGCCACGGGTCGGCAGCACCGAGGTTCTTTTCAGCCTGGAGCACATCTTATCCCTATGGTTGGCATCGCCTGATCTCGATGTGCCGACCTTAGAGACCCCCAGAGTTTCTCAGGACGCATCCTGAAGCTTGTCCTCGCATCTGGGCCTGCCGATCTCAGGGGTGGGGATAAGATCGAGGCTGGCTAAAAGCCTGTATCCAGTGCTGGGCGTCTTCTTAGCAGCGTGCAGGAAGGTGGCCGGACAGCGGCGGGAGCGCGCCAGCTTCGCGCGGGGCACCGCAGGAGAGCGCGGGGGAGCGCCAGTCGTTCTGCTCCAGTCCGAGCCGGGGTCTGCCTTCCCAGACCCCCTCCGCGTTGCGAAAGAGTGAGAAATCCCCCCCGCCAAACTCATCCCCTCTCGCCTTCCCCTGCTTGACCGGCCAAATGCACCTTGAGGCTCCTTGAATTCTGGAAGCCGAGATGCTTCGCAACGCCAAAGATGTAGTCATCCTGCCACGGCAGCGGCGCTGACTCCATCATCGGGATAACCTGCCTGCATCACGACGGGTTTTGTTTTGGCTATTTTCGGCCTCTGGGGGCCCTTACTGGGCCTCGGGACCGTGCAATGAACGACGCAGGATGATATTCTGTCCCGGGGAAGGGGTCCAGAACTCTGGGGTGTCGACGTTGTGATAAGATCACGACGTCGGGGGTCTGGATCAGTACCCGTCGGGTCGGCGCTGAAGGGATTGTACATTTTCCCTTTTCAAAGTTTGCACCCCCACCCCGCTCGGACTTCCCGTCGCGCCCCCGCCGCCAGGAGAGGGAGGGAGAGAAGGGAGAGGAGGAGGAGGAGGAGGAGGAGGAGGAGGAGGAGGAGGAGTAGGAGGAGGAGGAGGAGGAGGAGGAGGAGAAGGAGGAGGAGGAGGAGGAGGAGGAGGACGACGACGAGGACGAGGAGGAGGAGGAGGGGGAGGATGAGGATGAGGATGAGGATGAGGATGAGGATGAGGAGGAGAGGAGGAGGACATCCCCGCTCGCTGCTGACTTTCTCCAGCGGCATCTGGTGCCCATGCCCCATCTTGCAAGGTCGCCTCCGGGTCCGCCCGCCGCCCGGGGGGCAGGAGGCCCCACAGAGCTCACAGGAGATATCTATCTTGATGATTCAGTTTTGGAGGCTGAGCATCCCGCAGCATCCCTTCATTCTAACTTGCTCCGTGTTGTTGCAAGAGTGTTTTGGGCCTGCGCTGGACCCATCCCAGCGTATCAACACGGCACCGCCTCTTGCCCTTTTTTATCAATGTTTTGCTGTTTGCGATTTCTTTTGCTCGTGGTTGTACCGACTCATTGTTTGTGTTCGGAGGCTCCCACGAGCGAGGGAAGCTAAACATTACGTCCTGTGTCGCCTCCAAATATTTAAAGGCCAAGGCCCACACCGCCAATGTTGATTTGGGTTTGGGGCGGACCACTCACAGGCCCAAGTCTGGAAGCGAGCAGGCCGATCCTGCGGCCAGTGCTGCCGCCGAAGCTGGTCGTGCCCGAGCCAGACAAAATGCGCAGCGGAGGGCCATAGTCAAGGTCGTCAGGTGTTGAGGCTTTGGATCGGTCGCCTCGTGAGGGGTTGCTTGATTTCAGGCGATCGCAAACATGGATCAAGGAGACGTGGGTTAGCGACGGGTCCCGCTTCCATGGGAAATCACGGATTTCCGCCGCCGATCGAGGCGGCACCAGCCGCATGTTGGGGCGGGCAGCTTCCCCGATCCATGGATTTGGCGACCGCGCGCCAAATCCATGGATCGCTAATCCATGTTTGCGCGCCCCCGATGATTGTGGACACCCACCCGCTCTTCCTCCTCCGTTCCCCTCCCCTCCTTTTTCCTCTTGCTTTGCACGGGTACTGTTGCTTGGCACCTCTGGCTCCAGTTGTGGGTGCATTGATTCTTTGATGTTGACCTCATGCATTGCGGCTGAATAGGCCATGGGATTGCATGAGCCACGACTGGACGTCGCAGGCCGTGAGTGGGTGATTTATGACATGTCGTGTGGTTCCCTTCTCCCCTCGCCTCTTTCTTCCGCCTCCCCCTCTTCCGCTCCTTCTCTTCCGCGCTTTAGTTTTCGTCTCGCCTGGGAGGAACGGACAATAATGGTCCGGCGGCAAGACAGCTTGCCGACTCCCCGCTCTTATTTCAAGCATCCGGCATCAGTTCATGGGGTCATCGCTGCTTGTGAAAAAAAAGACACTCCAAAGGCAAGCCCTCTGTGCCCCAGCTGCAACTCGTTCGTGGCCCCGTTTCAGCTCCACGAGGGCCCCGCCGTGATTGGGTGCACGTAGTGTGCATGTTTTGCCTCCTCGCGGGTCAATGCTGTCGCCTCTCCCTGTCGCCACATGTCACGGACTGGGGGGCTAAAGTGTTTCAGGATCGAGTTTCTTCTTTTGCCAGGCTGTACGCCTACGCATCGCCCCAAAAGTGGTTACGGAATGGCTGAATCAGGTATTCCGCAGGTTGTGCGCAGGAGGAGGGCTAGGTGAGGGAGGAGGAAAGAGGGAGGAAATAGGAGGGAGGCACGCGCAACGTCGGCATGGGTCTTGCCAATCGGAGGGGGGAGGGAGGAGGGAGGACGATGACGAGGAGGGAGGAGGAGCGGGAGAGAGGAGGGAGAGAGGGATGGAGGGAGGGAAGAGGGGAGGGAGGGAGGGAGGGAGAATGAGGATGGGAAGGAGGAGCAGGTGGGTTTGCACTCCATTCTAGCCTGGAACGGGGCCGTTCTAGACGATGACGGCTCCGCTCTAGGCCGGAAAGGCCTCGTTCTAGGCTCCCGCCCTCCTCCGCCCCACCTCGCCGGGGATCTCCGACGCGGTTGCACCGTGCGTGCTTTCCCCGCTGCCGGGGCTCCCCGGCGGGAGGCTTCGGGGGCGGGCTGCTGTACTCGGCGTGCGGAGCCATTCTGTTCTGCGGCTACATCGTCTTCGACACCCACAGGGTGATGCAGGCCCCGGCCAGGAGGAGGAAGAGGCGAAGGAGGAGGAGAGGGAGGAGGAGGAGGAGGAGGAGGAGGAAGAGGAGGAGGAGGAGGAGGAGGAGGAGGAGGAGGAGGAGGAGAGCGGAGGAGAGCGGAGGAGGGAGGAGAGTCAAGAGGAGAGGGGAGGATCGAGAAGAGGAGGAGGAGGAGGAGGAGGAGGAGGAGGAGGAGGAGGAGGAGGAAGGATTTAGGAATTTCAGACGTACAGATTTACCCTTCTGGCGTTCCTGGTGGCATCCAGAGGCCTACGGGGGCCTCCAGAGACCTCTCCAGGAGGAATTGGAGGAGTAGGAGGAGAAGAAAAATAATGAGGAGGAAAGAGAGAGAGAGAGAGGAGGAACGAGGATCAGGATAAAGGAGGAGTAAGAAGGAGGAGCAGGAACAGGAAGGATTATCGAGGAAAGGGAGGGTCGATGATAGAGGTTTGCGAACGATTTGAGATTGTTTGAGCCTTTCTCTGGAGGCATTTGAGGCATCTGAGGATTTCCGGAGACCTCTGCAGGAGGGGGAGGAGGAGGAGAAGGAGGAGGAGGAGGATGTTTTATAGTCACCGTTTCCCCGTTACGGTAAGCATGTGTAATATTGAATTGCCCAGTCAGTTCTTGATAACCATGAAGCTGGCAGTGTCCCGTTAGCCTTGCGGAATCCGGCAACTGGCAGATGCAGAAGAGAAGAAAGTGCAGAAGATTTTGGGCAGCCGCTTGAAGCCCAATTGTTAGAGAGGATGAGGCTTCCTTGGGAGGATTAGTCCCTGGTGTTTCCTCCCTTCTGGTTTATCCTCCCTCCCTTTCGTCATAGCATCCTTCCATTTCGTTGTACCGTCCCTCCTTTTCGTTTTACCGTTGCCGTTTGTTCCAATCAGATTGTGGTGTTGGGTCCTCGCTCTGATCCGACGAAGACATCTATACACCACCACCGTGCCAGACCAGGGCCATCCTGGGCCGTAGGATGGTGTATAGACCCTCCTGGCTCGGCCAGGAGGGCGTATACACCGCCCTAGGGCCCAGGATGGCCCTGACCTGGCACGGTGGTGGTGTGTAGATGCTCTCTGCGAATCTGAAACGCCCCGCGTCCTCTCCTCATATCTCTGCCTCTCCTCTCCTCCTCCCTCCTCCCTCCTGCCATACTTGCCCCTGCTTCGTTGCTCCATGGGGAGCTCCACCGAAGACCCCAGTGGTTGCGTTTGCATGGCACGCCGCACCCGTTTCGGCACACCCTCACACGATTCGTGACCACACAGGGGGCTCATCCGAAGGCCCCAGTGTTTGCGTTCGGATGGCACCGCCGCATCCGTTTCGGCACACCCCTCACACGATTCGTGGCCTCATAGGAAGTTCCACCGAAGGCCCCAACGGCTGCGTTCGCATGGCACCGCGGCGCCCGTTTCGGCACACCCTTCACACGTATCATGCCCCCCAGGAAGCTCCACCGAGGGCTCCAGTGGGTGCGTTCGCATGGCGTCGCCCCGCCCATGTTGGCACGTCTCTCACGTGTTTCGTGGCCCCCCAGGGAGCTCCACCGAGGGCCAGTAAGCCTCTCAGTAAGCTTGCGTTCGCATGGCTTCGCCCCGCCCATCTCGGTACACCCCTCACACATGTCTTGTCCCCCAGGAAGCTCCACCGAGGGCTCCAGTAGGTGCGTTCGCATGGCACGGCAGCATCCGTTTCGGCACACCCCTCACACGGTTCGTGACCACACAGGGAGTTCCACCGAAGGCCACAGTGGTTGTGTTATCATGGCGCCGCCACACCCATGTCGGCACGCTTCTCATACGTGCCGTGGCCCCAGAAGGAGTTCCACCGAAGACTTCAGTGGTTGCGTTCACGTGTCACCGCCGCACCTGTTTCGGCACACCCCTCACACGATTCGTGACCACAGGGAGTTCCACCGAAGGCCACAGTGGTTGTGTTAAGATGACCCCGCCGCACCCATTTCGGCACGCACCTCTCACACGCTCCGTGGCCCTACAAGGAAGCTCCACCGAGGGACCCAGCGGGTGCGTTCGCATGGCGTCGCCCCGCCCATCTCGGTGCACCCCTCACACGTATCATGCCCCCCAGGGGGTTCCACCGAAGGCCTCAGTGGTTGTGTTCGCATGGCACAGCCGCGCACAATTCGGTACACACCTCACACGTTTCATGGCCCCAGAAGGAGCCCCACTGAAGATCACGAGGCTGCGTTCACATGGCACCACCGCACCCATTTCGGCGCACCCTGTACGCGTTTCTCCTCTGAAGCCCTCAGTGGGTGCGTTCGCATGGCACCGCCGCGCACATGTCGGTACACGGTGGTTGCGTTCGCATGGCACCGCCGCACCCGTCCCAGCACACCTTTCACACGATTCGTGGCTCCATAGGGAGCTCCATACGTATCCCCAGTGGGTGCGGTCGCGCGGCATTTCTGCTCCCATTTCGGCACGCCCCGCACACGCTTCGTGGCCCAATGAGGAGTTCCACCGAAGGCCTCAATGGTTGCGTTCGCATGGGGCCGCCGCACCCATCTCGGCGCACCATTCACACGTTTCGTGGCCTCATCGGGCGTCCCACCGAAGGCCTCAGTCCCCAGTGGGAGGGTTCGCATGCGGTCCCCGCCCCATGTCGGCACACTCCTCACACGCGCCGTGGCCTCATAGGGAGCTCCACCGAAAGCGAGACCCACAATGCAGTACTCACAGCTGCATATGGTTGCACCTTTCGCCCGGAAAATATGATCACGTTCCCCGTGTGTTGTATTTGCGGTATTTGCTCATGGCACTTTCTTTCCTGTTTGTTTTCGGTCGGCCCAGGATATGTTTCGGTCGGCCCAGGGTTTGTTGTCAGTCGGCCGAGGGTATTGTTTCGGCGTGCCCTCGTTTCCCCTCCTCGTTTTCCCAACAGTTTTCACTTCCGTTTCCAACCTTGTCTTCCCCATCGTGTTCACATCGTGCTCCCCCTCGCTTCCCCTCTCCATTTCCCCCTCGGTACCCTATGTTGTTTCCCCCTCGTTTCGCTTCTAGTGTTCCCCATATTTCCCCCCTTTTCATTGTCAGTTTAGTTGTCCCCATCGTGTTCCTTTTCGTTGCCCCATTCGTTTCCCCGTCGTGCTCCCCATAGTTTCCCTATTCGTTTCCCTCCTCGCGTTCCACATTCGTGTTCCCCTCGTCGTCCCCCCCCCGGTTTCCCCCTATCATGCCCCCCCCGGTTTCCCTCCAGCATTCCGCATAGTGTTCCCCCTCGTTTCCCCCCTCGGTTCCCCCATGCCTGTTCCCGTCTCGTTGTCCCTTCGTGTCGTCCCTCGCGTTCCCTCGCTGCCCCCTCTGAATTCCCCCCTCGTGCTCCCCTCGTTTCCCCTTCGCTCCCCAAATTCGCCTCCCCCCTCGAGGTGTACGGGCCAGACGACGCCATCGTGGCGGCCATCGAGCTGTATCCGATGGCCGCCGCCTGCCTCCTCCGCCCGTGCGGCCCCCGGGGAAGCCCTGCGGCGATCTCCCCAGGGGGGGGGCAGCCAGGACAACCTCGAGGACTGAGCTCCATCAGGGCCAGGACCTGCTCCTCCTCCTCCTCCTCCTCCTCCTCCTCCTCCCCCTCCTCCTCCTCTGTTCCTCCTCCTCCTCCTCCTCCTCCTCCTCCCCCTCCTCCTCCTCCTCCTCCTCCTCCTCCTCCTCCTCCCTCCTCCTCCCTCCTCCTCTCCTCCTCCTCCCCCTCCCCCCTCCCCCTCCCCCCCCCATCCCCCTCCTCCTCCCCGGCCGTTTCGGCACACCCCTCACACATGTCTTGCTTCCCAGGAAGCTCCACGGAGGGCCCCAATGGGTGCGTTCGCGTGGCGTCGTCCCGCCCATTTCACACGGTTCGTGGCCCCCCAGGGAGCTCCACCGAGGGCCAGTAAGCCTGCGTTCGCATGGCGTCGGTTCGCATGGCGTCGCCCCGCACATTTCGGCACACCCCTCACACGCTTCGTGGCCCCCAGAGAGCTCCACCGGGGGCTTGCGAGCCTGCGTTCACATGGCGTCGCCCTGCCGCTTTAGGCACACCCCTCACGCCTTTGGTATTTCCCAGGGAGCTCCGCCGAGGGCCCCACTGGGTGTGTTCGCATGGCGTCGCCCCGCCCATGTCGGCATGTCTCTCACGCGTTTCGTGGCTCCCAGAGAGCTCCACCGAGTGCTGCGAGCCTGCGTTCGCATGGCGTCGCCCCGCCCGTTTCGGCACACCCCTCACACGTTTCGTGGCCCCCAGAGAGCTACGCCGAGGGCCCCACTGGGTGCGTTCGAGTGGCATCGCGCATGCTTCATCGCTCACGGCGGCAACTTGCCCGCTTGACGCTGGATCATTTGCAGTGTTCAGCGCGTCGAGCTGTTCTGGAGTATCGCGCGTGATGTAGCGCGCGGCGCTGTTACTCGCGGTATCATGTCCTCCAAGTCTATTATTATTTTCCTTGTCCGTCCTGATCCGTGTCGCATTCATCGTCACCTTCCAAGTTTGCGATTTGATTTGCGGCAGTTCATGCGTGAAGGGGAAGCTCTGTAACGGCTTTAGCGAAGTTGTTGGGGATACTGCAGATCCTTCAGCATGTTCTCGTACATTGATCCCTCCTGTTTATAATTGCCTTTTGTTGAGAAAGGGTCGGGTTCTTCGCAAGGCTGATTGTGCTGCGTTTGTGGGCCCCTCTAGGCCTCTGGCGGTTGCCGGGAGGTCCGACTGATGGAGACTTCTGGGCACTTCCAGGGACTGCGTAGCAAAGTGTGGGGTCGCACACAGACGGCCGCCGGAGGTAGCTCAGGATGACCCCAACAGGCCCCCCACAGGGCTTCTGGCTGTTGGGGTGATCCGAAGACGCTTGCGGCGAATCACCGCCGCCCCCTGCCTTTTTGAAGATAGATATGCGGCCGAACGTTAGGCCAACATTTTGCTAAGCTATTGGCTTGTGTGCCCCCCCCAGCCTTTCTGGAAATCGTGGGGGGATTGTGGCAATATTGGGCCGTCTTGGTGCCATCTTGGCCGTCTTGGGGGCCATTTTGGGCGTCTTGGAGGTCTCTTGGGCCATCTTGGGGCACTCTTGGTGCCGTTTTGTTGGCCTCTCGAGCCGTCTTGGAGAGCTGTTGGACGGCTTTGGAGGCCTCTTGGGAGCCTCTTGGGCCAGTATTGGGCCGTGTTGGTGCCATCTTGGTCATCTTGGAGGCCGTGTTGGCCGGTTTGGATGTCTCTTGGACCATCTCGGAACCATCTTGGTGGCCTCTTGGGCCGTCGTGGAGGTCTCTTGGGGCCTTCCGGGGGACTTCTTGGGCCGTCTTCGCCCGTCGGAACCCCGGAAAGAAGCAAACGCCAAAACATCCAAAAACATGCCACGAAATGGATGAATTTGGGCATCCGGGGATCTTCTGGAGGACCTCTTGGAGCAACTTCGAACTTCTCAGGGGCCTCTTGGGCCGTCTCGGGTCAATGTTGGGCCATGTGGGATGCATCTTGACGCATCTTCGGCTCTCCTGGGGCAATCTGAGCTGCTTGGGAGGTGTCGTGGGACTGTCTTGGAGGACATCTTGCGCAATCTTAACTAGCACTGTTGGAAACAATCTTGGACCGTCTCGAGATCCCTCTTGGGGACCTCTTGGGGCCATCTTGGAGGCCTGTTGAGCCGTCTGAGGCTGTCGGAAGCCCGACATGGCGAGAACGCTCAAAACATTGAACACCCGCATTGTAATCAATGAATTTAGCCCTTCGGGAGGTCCTCTTGGAGCGACTTGGAGCGTCTCAGGGGCTTCTTTGTCCGTCTTGAGATTATACTTGAGCCTCTCAGAGTCGTCCTGTCCGATTGGAGAGCCGTGATAAGGAGGATGAGGAGGATGAGGATGAGGATGAGGAGTCGGATGAGAATGTGGATGAGAAGGAGGAAGAAGAGAAGGTGGAGGAGGAGGACGAGCAGGAGGAGGAGGAGGACGAGCAGGAGGAAGAGGAAGGCCGTCACATGTGACACTGTGACACCGTTCGTCTTTATGTATTATGGGGTGTTGTGTCTAGTCTCTATTCGAGGGGTCAAGGGTTTGGCATCTCTTCCTCGAAGGAAGGGCGGCGGAAGCTTGCGGAAGCTGGCGGAAGCAACACAAGGGCGCCTCCGACAGCGTAAGTTGGCAAAATTTGGCGGAAGTAGAAGCTGCATCCCCAAAGAATGACAATTTGGTTACATCCATGGTTTCTGGAATCCGCCAGTTGATTATCCGTTGTGCGTCGACTTTTTTTCTTAGACTCCGCATGGTGTCTTGCCGCTGGCCAGCACAACAGAAAACAAAGATTTAAAAATGAGTCGTTCAACAAGGGAGCAAGAACAAAACAACAAAAGAAAAAAAAACACCAAAAACACACACACACACAGAAAAAAAAACGAACGGGTCGCCCTAGCATGTCAGCGCCGCGACACGCGCGACGGCATCCGAAAGAGGACTGGTAGCAGTGTAAATGGAATTGTGCCATCTTCCCGCGTTGGGCAGGAGTATCATGTGGTTTACGTTTGTTCAGTCGGCCAGCTGAAGAGGAATGTGATCGAAGGGGGCAAGGGTAAGAAACAGAGGCCACTCTCCAAGAAACAGAGGCCACTCTCCCATACCCCCGTTCCTTTGTTTCCTCGATCGCCTTGCATACCTCTCAACATGCCCCAGGCGTCACAGGCAAGGAATCGCCCCAGTGCGGGGCTGGAGGACCTGGACATCATCAACCTCTTCATGCGCCTGCCGCTCGGGGGGAGAAGTCCAAGAGAGTGAGGAGGAGGAGGATGCGGCAGGAAGGAAGACCTCAACATGCAATCCGCGCTTGCGGGAGCAGGGCCCAAAGACCCCAAGCAGCGACGGCTGATTTGATCTCAGTTCGGACCACTCGAGATGAGAGTGAGGTGCCGTCACGTCACATTATCGAAGGCCTAGAAGTTGACACCAACACCAATATCGGCGGTGTTCCTCCACCGTGGGAAGAGGATCCCGATCTCGGTGATGGAGGTAATATTCTGGCTTCCAAGGTGACCGACAGATTACCACCAACACCGAAATCTACGGTCATCTTCCCCTTGTGGAGGCAACCCCCGTTGGTGTTGGTACCCATTTCTAGGCCTCCAACATGAGGGATTTCCAGGGGCCGAGACGATGAGAGTTTCATGCTCTGGACCGCTGACTGGGCCAGCAGCCCCAGGGGCGTCACGAGCTGCTGCCATGCGCGGGTGCCGTCAGCCTCAGGGTGGCCACGAGCTGTGAGCACCCCATGGGGATCGTTGGCCCGCATGGCAGTTTTGGCCCAAGTTGCGGCCCGACTACAGTCAACGCGACTAAGAAGGACGCGCGCCTTCATCTAGGGTACCCGTGTGTCCATGCCTCTGCGGCCCGTCCTTGGCCATTTGCGGAACGCCAAGAGTTTATGTTTACGGCGTTTTTTTCCTAATCTCACGGCCAGGGCCAAGATGTGTCGCCGCGCCATTTGCTCCGACGCGCCGCTTTACGTCTTGGGGAGGGCGCTTCGGCCACCAGGGCGAACGCCGCCTCGGGCGCAGGGCTCGCCGTGGGCGTCTGCCGCGGTGCCGGCGCCGTCTGCTTGGGACGCGCGGCGCAGTGATTGCCGTGGGCTGGCCGTGGTGTCGGTGTCATCCACCTGGGCGCGTTGAGAACAAACGGCGCGGCAACATGTCAGGGCCCACTCTTCTCATTTCAATGCGCCCCCTGGTCCCCCCTTCGTCCTCGGGCCATGATTTGTAAACCCTTTTCTTGGACGCTCCCATGAACGAAAGGAGTGGGAAGCAAAACGGGCGTCCCGCTTTTGGACGCTCCCGAAATCAAGTATCGTCCACTTTCTGGGGGACTCCAGGTTTTACGTCACCCACCCTGAGGCCTCAAAAGCCAATCCGAAGCGAAAAGGCAACAAGACAAAACACAGTAAGAAACCTTCGGCTGTTGAGCGGAGCTGGAAGAGCAGGGGGAGGGAGGTCAGGGTCGAGGGTGGTCCCCCCTCGTTGCCCTGCGAAGCCAACCACGTCCAGATGAGATCCCCCTCTCTTTTTGGAGTTTTGCGCGAGCAACGAGCCAGGAGGGCTCGCTGTGTCTGATTTCCTGGCCCTTGTCCTGCTTCTCGTCACCCATCCTCCCCCTCATCCTCTCTCTCCCCTCTTTCTCCCCCTTCAGGAACGGTGGGCCGAGGCGAGTCTGCTTGTGACGACAAGCCCTACTGCCCCCCTCCGCCCCGCCAGGAGGCCACAAATGGAAAAGCACATCTCAAAGCCATCTCGAATCCTCGCTTCTCCTTCTGTTCTCCTCCCCCGGAGGTCTCCGTAGGCCCTGGATGTCACCGGCAGGTGTTTGGAGGCCTCGGGCCGCACCATCCACAGGAAACACTTGTTCGCTCTTGAAAGCGACCGCAGTCTCTTTTGCCTCTCGGACAGCAGCCTCGTCTTTAAGGGGCCAGGGGGTCTGGGGGTCCGAGATTGGTTCCCAGACAATCGGCCAAGAGAGGGGACGAGGACAAGTCCGTTCAAAATCATTTCCTGGACCCTGCCAGGGGTCGAAACTGATAGTTTTTTCGCGCCGGGGGGGTCCCTTTCTCCCCGCTTTACCAGCGCGGATCCACGTCAGCACCCTGGTTGGTTCTAAGTTGGGGTACCCGTTGCGCTCATAGCGAGCACACTTTGTGATCCCAGTTTCTTCTGCCAGCTTCCGTCTCTGCTCCCTGTCTGGCCCGCTGCGCGTGCCAGTGCTTCTCTCACCCTAAATTTCCCGCGGACGTCTGGTTCGACACGGCCCGTGCGCGAGTGCAGAAAAACGACAATCGATCTTTCATGCCACAGTGGTCGCGGAGCGAGGCTCGCTATCCTGGCCCCCGGGCCGTTCATATCCAGTCGCCCCAGCGGGGCGAGACTGTGTCGACGATGCCGGTAACAACCACCTCGGAATCGAAGGCCAGCAACTTTTTGCAGCTGTTGTTCTTTCTACAGCGCCAGCGTCAGCGACGCCAGCAAGCTCAAGTACTTGCACCACTCCGCCAGCATCAGCGACGCCATGAGTGCTCCAGGTTCAAGTGAAGCCCACGAGTTCAATTGCACAACCTCCCGGAACCTCGGCGAACCGCCGTATTCAGTTTCATTACTTCCCAGATTTTCAGCGAAGCCGCCAAGTTCAATTTCAGAACCCCCCCGCGACGCCGCCAGGTTCAATTTCACAACCTCCCAGAATCTCAGCGAAGCCGCCGAGTTCAATTCTTCAATCGCCCAGGGTTTCCGCGAAGCCCACGAGTTCGTTTTCACAACGACAGACGGCGAAGAGCCCTTCATCATCGTCCTTTCGGTGCTCACCAACACCCGCAAGGACCCGATGACAGATGACCACGTCCCCTATGGAAACCAGTCGGCCACTCCCATCTGGAATGGCGATCCGTCAAAGTGGCCAGATTACAAGCAAGAGGCGAAACTCTAGAACCTCAGCGAGAAACCCGGGGCGGCGCAGAGCCGGGCGTCCAAAGCTCGCACTCTAGCTCACGGGCGCAGCACGCTCGACCGCGATCAACATGGCAGAGGTGGGGCTGCGCTCCGAGCCGCCCGCAGCGGAGCTCGAGGACACCGGCGAGAATTAGCGCAGCAGGAACGAGACGGGCATCGAGAACGCGCTCAAGCATGTGGAGAGATGCTCGGGCCAGCAAGAGCCAATCCAGAAGGGCGAGACACATGTGAAGTTTTCGAAAGTACACGGCGCCATCGTCGACGCGGCGAGCGCACGACAGATTGGCTCGTCAGTCTCAACGCTGGCCGACGACAGCTACGCGAAATTGACTTCTGCGCGCTCGACGACGCGGCTGGGCGGCTCTTGCCACGCACGGCCAGCTTCGCATCATGTCGACGAGAGCGAAGTGTGAGAGACCTGCCCGAGGAGAATTGCAGCTTCGCGCAGATTCGCCAGCCCCTCGCGCGCACGCCCCCAGATCACCACGCGCCAGAACAACACCATCCTCCATCCACGCCCGCGGCGAAATAGCCCCGACCGACATCTCGCTGGCAGAGGCGTCAACCAGCGTGCAAAGGCCGGTCCACCAACGTCGTCGACGAGCCCGATAACGATGCGAATTACTTGGACGAGGGGGGGGACGACAACGGCGCGGAGGTCGAAGCGCCGCACACGGCGCGCCACGAACTCGAGGCCGTCAGCCCCGAGCTCGACGCCTCTGTCGCGGGCGTTCCAGAAGTCTTCGACAACGACGACTCAGCCGCGGTCGGGGCTGCCTCGGCGGAGCTCGCCGCGATGCCGGAGGCCGCGGCGCCATGGCGATCCCCAGGTCAGCCCAAGAGGCCCCCGAGGCCCGCGGCGTGGGAGGCGCGGGGCGCTCGAGCAAGCCGCCGCCAGAGAGCTTGGCGCCCGGGTGCGCCGCGCCCCATGTACCGCCCACCAACGCGCCCCCCAAGTGGCAAGACGCCCATCGACGAAGGCGCCGGCGTGATCGACGCCGCCTGTCTGTTCTGCATGGCCCGCCTGCTCTGGCGCAACGCCCACAGGGACCTGCTCGCGAGGATGAGGCTGGCCACGTGAGATCTTCGGCGAGATCGAGAAAGAGCTGCGCAGGTCCAAGACCGTCGGCGCCCGTCCCAGCAAGCCCGGGGCGACGGCGCCGCTCGCCCTCTGCGGCCGCGCTGGCGCGATCGCGCTCAGCGCCGCGGACAGCCCGGCGCTCGGCCTGCTCGCCGGCGGGGGATTCATCCAGCTTTCCAAGATAGGCATCTCGATCTGGGAAGGCCGCGTCCGCATCAGGAACCACGCCCGGGAGCTCGCGGCGAGCAGCGCAGGCCGCCCCGCGATCAAGCTGCGCGCCGACCGTCGACGCCATCGCATACTACGCGACCTCGGCCGACGCGCACGTCGAGCTCTTGGCCCGGAAGGAGGTCGAAGTCCCTAAGTGACTCCAGCCACGACGAGTCGCAGGGCCACGGCTCACGAGCGCTTTCGCGACCGCTGTGGCGCGCTGCTCGGGGGCAGTCGCAGAGCCGCCGATGTCGCGGCAGGGGTGCTCACCAACAAGGCGCTTAACCGAGCAGGCGCGCGAGTGCGTCTCATGCGGAGACGGGGCCCACCTCGCCCGCCGCCGCCGAAGGTGCCCTGCCCCGACTGCGCGTTCGGAGCCGCGGAAACCTTCGACGCGGACCTGGCAAACATCGCCGGCGAGAGAAAGGGGGTCAGCATCGCGGAGGAGGAGCTGGCCCACGCGCGCAATGTCAAGGAGGTTCGCAGCCGCTGTTCATCGCCGGAAAGCGGTCGGCCCTCATCGCCAATCAATGCGGAAACAGGCCGCGACAGGTCGGCAGGGCGCCACGAGCCGACGCGACCAAGACAGCAACAACACCTAGTGGGATTACAAACATCAAATCCACCTTATTCCACGAGTGGCGCTGCAACCCTGGCAGGAAGCTCAGCGCAGCGTGGAAGAAGAACGGGGAGGCTGCTGTCTGGCGCGGACCTCCTGGCTGCGACCTTTGTTTCAAAACGCCACGTTGCCAAGGAGTCGGAGAGCGAGGTCTGGGACCTCCTGCTTCGCGGGGTGAGCGCATGGTCCCACGCCGAACTAAGGCGCATGCCTGGGCATGCCTGGGAAAGACGCAAATCGGACTTCATGGCAGACCTCGCCATCGATTCCACCAGCCGACTGCGCGAAGAGGTTGGGGCCCCAGCCCGCGGCATCTCTCGAGTGGCACGCTGCTGCGACGGCTGGGGCCTCGGCAAAAACGCAACCGATCGAGCGGCCGACGCGCGCCATCGATGAGACGGCTGCACTTTCGGCCTGAAGACCAAGGAGGGCACGGTGATCACGAAACCGCGGCGAACAAAAACAGATCACATCGGCTTCGACGACGGGCTGTCGCAAGCACGCCGAAGCCCGCGGGCGCGACGCCAAGAATGGGGGGAACTACACGTCCGAGCTCGTGGAGGTGCCGGCCACGCAGCGGGGCCGGAGCAATCTTGGGCCTGCCAGAGAAGCCAACCCCGTTGCAGCTACACGCAGGGCATCGCGGCGGACACCGCCGCAACCCGCCGCTCCGCAGGAGCTGCCGAGCACGGCAGCGGAGGAGGCGACACTCGGGCCCGCCATCACGCAGCTTCACGCCAACACAGGGCATCTTGCCAATGACGCTCCAGTAAGAACAATCCGCGTGACAGGCGGACCCCAGCGAGTGTTCGACGTGGCATTGAGCCTCCTAACTGCGAGGTCTGCTTAGCCCACCAGCGGCCTCTACCACGTCTACCAGGACGTATCCGTTTAGACCGGGGCTTCAATGATTCCATCGGCGTGGACACGCCGGAAATCCGTTTGTATTCCTGCACGGTCGACCTGGCCTCGGGCTTTACGCTCTGCGGGACCGTGAACACCAGGCGCCCATCGGTTGCTTTCGCTCGACCATTGCAGATCTGGATCACGCAGTTCGGTTCGTTTCGGAGAGTCATCTTCGATGGGCGAGGCGAGTTCGAGCGCCAGTTCCCCAAGTTGCCGGCCACCGCCCCATGGCCACCTCAGCGGCTGCGCGGCAGCAGAACGCCACCGTCGAGAGGCATGGTGGCACGTGGAAGGCTCAAGCCAGGAAACTGACCGACCAGGTTAGCATCTGGTTCGGCCAGCCCGCGAACGCCCACAAGATCTAATGGCGGCGCGCATCTGCGCAGCGTGTTAATTATGGCCAGCAAGGTCAAACCCACGGCCCCCTCGCCATCACAAAGTATCCTTGGACGTGGACTGCGGCTGCCACGCTGCCCGCTGGACAAGGCTGGGCGCCCATCGCCCCATGGGCCCATCGCGTCCGACGAGTCGTCCTCCGAGCGGACCTCGATCATGAAGGCGACCCAGACCTCTATCAGTTGATATTCAACTAGTCCCTCTCACGAGCGCCCCTCGCCCAGTTAAGGGCTGACGGAGCCCTGCACGCCTCCGCCGTCTACGAGACGGGCGACCAGGTGCGCCGCTGGAGGGGGAAAAGCAAGCCCAAGCGCAAACGGGCTTTGCAATGGCACGGACCCAGTGTCATCATCGGGTCCGAGGACACCTCCAATGCGCTGGTCAGCCGCCGCCCCGCGACGGTCAAAGTCAACCGTGGACACCCACGCCGCTACGGCCACAGGGCTCGCCCCCCGGGGCCAGGCCGTTTGCGCCAGAACGGTGCACCACCACCACCACCGCGGGGACAGGGACGGCCGACAGCTTAGTGGACAATCGCCGCCACCACCGCCCCCAGGCAGACCACCCCCGCCAGACGGCGGGGGACGCGGTGGTGACAGCGGATCTGGGCCACCAGACCCGCCAGGTGACGACGCGCTTCTGGACTTCAGTGGGCCCGCGCCTCAGAAGCGACCGCGCGCCGAACACCCGAGAATTTGTTTGTTCTTGTTTTCACAGCTTTGTACAGTTCAGCCAAGAAGTGCCAGAGGCATCATGTTCGCCGTTCGCCCACCCACTTCTGTGCTCAACGTTTTCCATTTGTAAATGAAGCAAGTACACATCGACAGAAGTAGATGTGCCTGGCCGCTTTGGCGCCAAAAATGCCGTGCAGGAGGAGTGTGATTCCAGTCTCTTCCGCCAGCTTCCGCCTTTGATCCCTGTCTGGCCCGCTGCACGTGCCAGTGCCTTTCTCACCCCGAACTCCCCGTGGACGTTTGGCTCGACAGGGCCCTTGTTTATTCGAGCCACGTTTCCTCGCAGCGCAAGAGCGAAAGAACGGTCAGTTATGTTCCATATCGCTCACTCGTTTTCCCGTCTCTCCTCCCCCTTGCTTCTCCCCTCGTCCGCGGAGGTACTTGCTCGAGCTACTCTCCGCCATGTCCGGGTCGGACAACTGAAAAGGTGGGGGGGGTCGCGCCGACCCCGCGGCAGCGTGGTTTGGGGGCCCGCTGGCCCGCCCGTCCTGCGTCCGGCGAATCTCCCGCGGCGACACCTCCAGCATTCGAGCGCCGGGATCGGGAGGGGGGGATCGGATTTGCAGAGGTGGAAATCGGCACACAGGATGTCATTATCAAGCGGGGGGGTGATTCATTTTCCGACTGAGCTTGCCCCCCCCTCCTCCTGTTTTCTAATCCACCTCATTTTCTTCGTGTTTTTGCTCCTCCTTCTCTTCCTCCTCCTCCTCCTCCTCCTCCTCCTCCTCCTCCTCCTTCTCCTCCTCCTCCTCCTCCTCCTCCTCCTGCTCCTCCTCCTCCTCTTCTCCTCCCTTCTCCTCCTCCTCCTCCTCCTCCTCCTCCTCCTCCTCCTCCTCCCCTCCTCTCCCTCCACCTCCTCCTCCCCTCCTCCTCCTCCTCCTCCTCCTCCTCCTCCTCCTCCTCCTCCGCCTCCTCCTCCTCCTCCTCCTCCTCCTCCCCCTCCTCCCCTCCTCCTCCTACTCCTACTCCTACTCCTACTCCTACTCCCTACTCCCACCTCCTCCTCCTCCTCCTCCTCCTCCTCCTCCTCCTCTCCCTCCTCCTCCTCCTCCCACTGCTCCTCCTCCTCCTCCTCCTTCCTCCTCCTCCTCCTCCTCCTCCTCCTCCTCCTCCTCTCCTCCTCCTCCTCCTACTCCTACTCCTACTCCTCCTCCCCCTCCCCCTCCCTCCTCCTCGTCCTCCTCCTCCTCCTCCTCCTCCTCCTCCTCCTCCTCCTCCTCCTCCTCCTCCTCCTCCTCCTCCTCCTCCTCCTCCTCCTCCTCCTCCTCCTCCTCCTCCTCCACCTCCTCCTACCTCCCTACTCCTACTCCTATTCCTCCTCCTCCCTCCTCCTCCTCCTCCTCCTCCTCCTCCTCCTCCTCCTCCCCTCCTCCTCCTCCTCCTCCCCCTTTCGCAAGATACACCGACTACGGAGCACTGCACAGCAGGCTCGAATCTCAGCAGGACTGTGGCGTACTGGCGCTCTCCCCGAAGGAGTCTTCGGTCATCAGGTGCAGGGCCTTGCTCGACACGCTCTACTACGATGGCGCCGTCAGGCCGCCATCGCGGCCACGGGGGCAGCAGCGGGCCGATGCCTCACCTCCCTCCTCGGCGCCACCTTCGACGGCATGGACCCAGGAGTTTCCCTAAGAATAGAGTTCATCGAGGCATGGCTCCAGCACTGGATACGCCACCCGAGCACGCACGCCAGGATCATCAGAGCATGGCCAAGGATCAAGACCACCTTGCTAGCCGCAGGCCCCAAGCTGTGGTGCAGGGTCAAGGGGCCCACTGGCGCGGCCATCGCAACACTGCTGGAGGCCAGCTGGGAGCCGACCTCAGCCACCACGTGGAGGCGCACAAAGGACGGCTACATCGAGGAGTGGAACCTCCCCTCTGCCCACGACCCAGACCTCCCCGACGCCGACATCCACACCGTATTGCAGGACCTCAGCGAGGATTTGCACAGGCTCCTTTGGACTCAGGCCGCTACCCATGGCCATGGCGACACGCTGGCAGGAGGAGCAGACATGGTCACTATCCGCATCGAGCAAAGAAGGTTTCTCGCAAACGGTGATTTCAGCGACTGGGCCCTCAACAACACCGTCATCAGTGGAGGACAATGGACCAGAGACCGCCTCCACAACTCGGGCTACCAGATCGACAGGTACTGCGACCGATGCAGCGCAGGAGTTCCTGAAATTCTGTTTCACCGTATGTGGCAGTGTGAGGCGAACGTGGGACCTGAGTTTGAGGCCAGTGACAAGCTACTACCGCGAGCCGTGGCGGGGGCCGAAGCTGACCCCGCCCTGTGGCTCCGTGGCATTCCCTCCGCCGCTCTCACTACGCCCGCGTTCGAGCCATTGACTGGGAGGGACGGGTGGGAGTTTGCTGGTGCGGTGCGGGATGGGTTGCCGTCGTGGGAAGGAGCTCGTAACGCTGAGGGCGAGTTGTTTCTTTTTGGCGACGGGTCTGGCGGCGCCTTTTCCGACGACGTCAGACGAAGACGCGTTGGTTCTGGCCTCGCGGCCCTCCGATGGGACCCTCCCTCGGCCTCCTGGGCCCTCCATGCTGGCCTCCTCGCCCCCCTCCCAGGCCCCCGCCAGACTGTCCCAAGAGGCGAATTGCATGCGTTTTGCCTGGCTCTCGAGACGTGCCAGCAGGACTTCGCGTTTGTTACCGACCACCTAGCCCTACAGCGCGGCTGGCAGAATGGCAGATGTCTCCGACCTGGCAGCCTCAGAGGCAAGAATAAGAATGGGGATCTCTGGCTGAGAATTCGGCACCTCGTGCAGGATCGATCTGGCGGCTGCTCTTCGGTCTCGGTGCTCTGGACCCCATCTCATGCCGATCCCCTCTCCTTGAATGGTTTCCAAAAATTTATGGCTCTCGGCAACCAGCATGCCGATGAGCTCGCGGGAAGCGCGGCCCACAAGTCGGCCACCCTTGCCCTCCCGCCTGTCCCCAGGACTGATGAATATGACGCTATTGCAGCCATCGTCCGACAGAGGGCCCGACTGATCTTACGTTCCCTAGGCGAGAATTCAGAGCCTCGAGGACAGTGGCCAGAAAGGCAACCCACCCAGGCTGCAGCCCCTCGCTCTCAGTTGCAGACCGCGATCGCGGCTTCTCAGCACAAATTCGAGCGGTGTGCAGACAAATGGAGATGCCCCGTTTGCCTCATCATCGTTGACGCGTGCCACGTCATTCCAGCTGCCGCCACAGAGTGTGCGCCGCCTTGCCCCCTCCCCGAGTTCGCCGCGTGTGGAGAGGTGCTGTGGTCGAGGGGTCCCCGCGTGATCAGTGGCAAGTTGATCCACCCCTCCCACTTTTTGGCCACCATCCCCAAGTGGCAGTTGTTCTTTTGTGTGAAGTGCGGCCATACGGCCACCCACCAGGTTAAAAGCCTTCTTTTGCCGTGCCCTCTCTCCCACCAAGTGGGAGAGCGCAGGGCCCTGGGACCCACGGGCAAAGGCCTCGAGAACCTCAGCAGGATCAGGCGAGGCCTCCACCCGTCCAGAACGGGCCCCAGCAAGGCAGTGCTTGAAGCTTTGCACGTTTCGGCAGCCGAAGCCGCGATCGGTTCCTTCGCGGCGGGCGCTGCCACAGAGTAAATTGCGAGGCCAGGGGGGCCTGTCGCGGTGGGCCGTGGGATGTCGCCCCCCACGGCCCTCCGAGAAATACTGGATGGCCCCCCTGGCATCCCTGGGTTCCGAACGGACTACGTCCGATTGCTCCACTCCACTCCTCCTCCTCCCCCTCCCATTCTTCCATCCCAACAGCAAGTGCCCAGCCCCCCCCCCCCCGGAGGGGCGTCTTTCCCAAATCAAACGGGTCTTCCCAAACCAAACTTTGGTTAGGGTGGCCTGGGTCTTGGTTTGGGAAGACCTGGTTTGGTTTTGGAAGACCTGGCTGGTTTGGGAAGACCCGGTTGGTTTGGGGCGCCCCGGGGCTTCGGTTTGGGATGGCCCGGTTGGTTTGCGAAGACCCGGTTGGTTTGGGGTGACCCGGTTGGTTTGGGAGGACCCGGTTGGTTGGTTGGTTGGTTTTGGTTGGTCCAGTAAACGAGAACGCGAACGAAAGCGAAACGAAGACATGACAAAATGCGCAACGAGGCGGCAATGACGGCGAAACGAAGGCGAAAACGAGAGCGGACGCGAAGGCGAGAACGCAGCCGGGAACGAGAGCGGAAACGAGAGCCAAACGAAAGCGAAAGGAAAGCGAGAACGAAGAAATTCTCGTCGTCGCGGTCTTGCGCACGCACACCAGCAAAGCAACAAAGACGGCAGAAAGATGGAAGACGAATGCCAAACAAGCCGGGAAAGCAGCAGGAGGAGTTGTTTCTTTGTTTCTTGCCCCCGCCTGGACGCGTGGATGGTTGCGTAAACGCTAGCGCAGCGGCATTGGCGAATCTTCTGTCTGGCCAGTGCCGCGAAAGAATATGACGGGGAATCTATAGATTTAGCAGACACATTGATTTGTCTCTGACTCGTTTTCCTAAGTGCGAGTGGCCTCGGGAGTTTCAGAGCAGTGGAGCCGCGTCCGTCTCGTTCGCTGCTCCTGCTGCTGCTCTCTCCCTCTGCTCCGAAACCGCTCCTGCTCAAGCTCTATCATTCGAGGGGCCCCCGGCAGCGCATGGTGGCGCCGTGGGCCGCAGCCGGCCCGTGGGCGGCCTCCATCGCGACCGCGTGGCTCTCGCGCTGTCCCGCGTGCCCGGAGGCCCGCGTGACGTGCGGGGCCTGCCCCGCGTGCCCTCCGGCGGCGGCCGCCGCCCCCTGCCCGGGTTGCCCGGGCTGCCCGGACTGCAGTCTGACCTGCGGGACCGGGCCAGGCTGGTGGGCGGTCCTTGCCGCCCTGGCGGCTGGCCTCGCGGCCGGTGGCAGCTTCCGCGTGGCGCTGGGCTGGGCCGCCCGAGCCGCCTCGCTCTTCGTCGGCGGGACCGACCCGCCGCGGCGCGAGGGTGCGGCGCCCGTGACCCTGCTCGTCGAGGACGACGGAGCGGGCCAGGACGGCGGCGCGCAGCGCCGCTTTCGGGCAGTGCGAGCGTAGCCTGATCGTCGGCCGTCGGCAAGATGGCGGCGGCGGCGATGCGCACGCTCGACGTGCCCGAGGCGCAGGTGTGCGTGAACTACGACGACGACGAGAACTTCCGGTGGCACCAGAGGGTGCTCCTCGAGCAGCTCAGCCCTGGCATCTGGGTGGCGGCGACTCCCGACGGCGAGGTGCTGACGCTGAACCTCAGCAAGCACCTGGTCGTCCCCCTGCGCCGGGCGTCCGCGTTCCCGGTCCGGGTTCGTGGGCAGGTCTACACGTTCGGCGATCAGTCGGACGAGGACATCGAGGCGCTGCGCGTGGAGGCGCGCGGCCTCGCCCTGGTCATGGGCGTCGCTGCCCCAGCTGGGACTGCTGGCGGCGTCGTGCCGCGCTGGATCGTCTCGGACCCAGGCTCGCCCGAGTTCGGGCGCGAGCTGGACCTCCACCTCATCGGGAACCCGGAGCGGCTGATCAGCCGCGACGCGGTGGGCATCGCGATGCTCAGCGAGGAGGAGGGCTGGGTCTCGGTCGAGAACGTGCAGCAGGCCG